CTGTTGCATCCCCAAGCACAGGAGAGTGGGTGAAAATTTTGGGGTTTGAAGGTCAGTGCCCTCTTTTTTTAAAAAGAATAGACAGTTACAAAGCAAAATAGGAATGAAAGTTAATGTTTATTTAGAATATGAGAAAAAAACAAATTATGAAACTTAAAATGCTGGTGAATACGACAAACCTTTTAGAATCTGAAAAATAAAAGAATGTTTTTATTACTCAATTGCTTGACACACTTCTATCCATTTTTCCCTGCAGTTTTGGGTGACATACTCTTTGCCTCCTCAAATTATAAAAGTTTTAATACAGTTTTCTATAGAGACCGGAAAAATAATTGTCTTTGCATGGCTGATCAATTTTTAAAAATAATTATTCATACCCTAGAAAAGCCTTTCAGTGTCAACATTACTCCTCTATTGTCTTACAGATTTTTAAATGGTTCTCAAATATGAACCATGATGTTTGGAAGAATATTCTACAGAGTAACTTCCAGCTCTATGCATTTCCAACCTTGTTTCTTTTCTTCCACACACATACGAGGTCTGACATTTAAGGTCATGAATTCATCCTAGAGAAAGTACTACCTACCGCACTGCTGAATATCACAGTGGTCACCCTCAAAGTACTCTGCTTGGGAAGTTATGCACCAACGCCAGCGCCTAGTCCACCCTTCAAAGCAGTTTTGGAACTCTTTTTCTGTTACAGCCATCAGAGCTGTCGTCATATTACCCTTGATGTTCTGAATGTCATCAAAATGCCTTCCTTTCAATATTTCCTTTATGTTTGGGTAAAAAAAAGAAGTCATTGGGGACCAGCTCAGATGAGTAGGGAGGGTGTTCCAATACACTTACTTGTTTCCTGGCTAAAAACTCCCTCATAGACAGTGCCATGTGAGCTGGTGCATTGTTGTGATGCAAGAGCCGTGAATTATTGGCGACAAGTTCAGGTCGTCTAACTATTTCATGCAGCCTTTCAGTACTTCCAAGTAGTAATCTTGGTTAACTGTCCAGTTGGTACAAATTCACAATGAATAATCCCTCTGATTTCAAAAAGGTTAGCAACATCGTTGCAACAAGTTCACAAACTGAATTGTCAGACCGTGTACTTACAGTCCTGAGTGACCCAGGTTAGAAACATACTGCATGACAACCTGGGGTTCAGCACCCCCTTTTCAACATTGGGTGAATTTGTACAATGGGCAGTAGGAACACTCTGAAATTCATTCCTACACCAGAATACTTAATAACCTAACTACAAATGGAAGTGACTATGAATCATATACATAGGTCCCACTAAACCTAACCTAAATGGGACCCCTAATTTACTTACTTTGGCTTAGTTCCAGAAATAACCATGGCCATTTGAACACTGCAAAACATGACAGAGAATAGTTGGGATAGAAAAAGATAGCAGTCATAACCACTTGCGATTGAAACATTTTGGTTTTGCAAATTTTTAAAAGCATATGACTGTATAAACAAGTTCCTAGGTATCCGTACAAGTAAGGGACCCTCACACTCAACATTTTGTAGTTGGATAGTAAATCCACTTCTGCCAGCACCTAATGGAACTTGTAGGTACAAAATAGACACTCAAAAATATTTTTGGATGGATGGAAGGATGAATAATAAAAGGCACTTCTTTATGACTTCCATAGCATTACTAAATCAAAGTGCCTTTCAAATTAAATTGGACCCATTAGCTACGGGTCACATTTATTATATTAAAACTATGCTAAATCTCTGAGCGATGTGGGATCTATTTTTCATATGAAATATGTCAAGAAGATTTATTCATTGTAAGCACAGATACATTGACCCTTTGCTTTTTCTTTCTATGGGGAATTTCATGATTTCTGCATAATTTTGCAGCCCTGTCAAGTGCATTTCCTGAGGAGTCTGCCCTAAGCAGAGTTTCTACTTAGAATGTCTTATTACTAAAATTGCAAAACAACTTTCTTCAATGTATATGTTCTATTTACCTTTTTATGAGGGACAATTTTTACGCTGTGATTGTGTGTGTGTGTGTGTGTGTGTGTGTGTGTGTGTGAGTGTGAGTGAGAGACTCTCAGTGAAAGAGTTGTCTCAATTTTTTTAAAGCATTATTGCAGCTAAAAGGATTTGAAAGATTAAAGGCCCATATTTTCCAGGATGGGGTAAAAATATAGATTTATTTAAATTTTAGCTAACTGTCTAATGTTAGAACAGAGATAATGCTATAAAGGAAACTGGTGCATCCGACAGGAAGTGTTGTACTGAGGGATTTGCTGTGGACCCTGACTCTCTCGCCCAGGGTTAGCATATCCATCTCACTGGGAATCAGAGAAGTACCTACAAAATCAAATAATCTTTCATGAAACCTGACTTGGTGTGTACGTTATGCACCATTGAGAAACCTTGTGCCACTCTTGGGACCCAGAATTTTTCAGTGAGTGCCGGAAATAAAATGCTTCTTGAAATGCTGATTTTTGTTTTCACTTGACATTCAGATTGAGATGGTTGAGAGAAGGTGAAAAGTTATGAGGCAAATAGTGTCATATCGACAGAGAAGTTGTGGATTTACGGCTAGGTTTTCTTTCACAAGCTTAGTTCAGGAGAGTGCCCTTCTGTGATGTCATCATCAATACACTAGGTCTCCTTGGGAAACATCAACTGTGAATCAAATACAACCAATGTTACCCACACTGACCTGGTTGTCTTTTTAAAAAATATTTCACTTTTAAACGCTTTTGCAAATCAACCTTGGGACCTACTTGGAATATACACAGTGGTTAGCATGAGAAAGCAAGTTAGAGGAAGCCATCTTTTTTGGATATGCTGGTAGAAGAAAATATACATATCCATTTTAAGGTAGATTTTTCTGTTAGGTGATATATGTATGATTGGTGCTAAAGAAGTTTTACATTTTACATTTTACAGGGACATTTTACAGTACCCCGTCAGAGAGCACGTTACTGTCCACATTGATTGATCGGGAGATTACAATTAAATCTTTTAAAGTGTTTGGCAGATAACTTTTAAAGTGCTGCAATAATGCTGCTTACTACAACTTGTACTAGGGAGGAAATAAATCAATTTAAAAGGATTACGAAAATGGATGAAAATTGTAGGTGGCCTGTCAAAAATCTTTCACAATGAGTGTTTGTTAGGAGTAGGCAAGTCATGCTTTATCAGGAAACACGGAGATATTTCAGTGTGATTAGAAAAAGGTAAAGATTTTTTTTTCTTAGCTTCATTCAGCTGGTGTGATGAGCATTATTGATTAAAATGTTAGGATCGATAAGAAGTTAAAATTGGAGTAGAGGAGAGCTTGAGAAGGAGAAACAGGTTATGGTCTGTCGAGTAACCTAACAAATGGTTTGTAAATAAATGATTTTTAAACATGAGCTGTCAGTGATACTGCTTGGCTTTCATTAAGGCACATACCGTCTTACGTGCAGGTGTGTGTAAAATTACAATATATACTGTTATCAGACACGCACACTAAATATTTGTAAGCATTGTGTACTACTAAAAGCTAACTACAAAACTAGCCCATTTGAACATGTGTTATGAATGCTTTCTGGAGAATTCTCTGTAATGTTACTGACGAGCTGCTTTTCAAGTCATTTAACAGCCAATGGAATGGAACATGTTTCTCCTTAGAATGCGATTCTGTTTAATAACACAGTTGCACTCCATCAAACTCTTCTTTCTAAAATCACAGCAGTAATGTTTTAAATACCTTTCTCCTCTTTTTCTTAATTCATCAGCGTGAAAATCAACCAAATATACTAGACTCCCATAGTACAGCCTCATAACCAGGGATGAAAGGGTTAGATAGTCCTCACATAGAAGCAACCGCATTATAGAATTTACTTTCATTTGTAGGGAAAAACTAAACAGAGCGAGAAAAATACACGTGTTAAAACATCAAAGCACTATCAAAGGTGGAGGTAAATGCAGACATGGAGAAAAGACAATCAAAATACCAATAAACTGAAAAATGTAGTAAAACAAAAACCCACTAATATGCATTTTAAAAAGAACATCTAGAAGTAATGAATATTTTTACTAGGTGTATACAAAAGGTACCCCTGAAAGAAGCAATTCAGAGGCCAGCACTTGAAAATATTAACAAATGGTTAAAGTAGGCTCTAAGAGTTGCTATGAAGAAATGTGGAAGAACATAAAAGCAATACCTTTAAAGGAAAGGAAAAGGAGAAAAGGCTCACCAGTCACTGAATTCAGAGACTGAATTTTGAATTTTCCTGGGACTCCTCTGGGCACCACATTCCCATAAAAAATAAATAAAAGTTCCGTTTGAAAATTTTACAGTCTTTTAGATTGGTCTTAGAAGTATACTTTTTTTGTAAAAATTAATTCTGATCTTAGTGAAATGTTAATGTCACTGTTTATTTTTCTAAAATAGTGGGCATATATGAGTAGAAGTTATCAATATGTAGACGTGAGTGAAAAATATTAGGAAGTCATTTTTAAATTACATAAAATATCAGTAAAGAATAATATCTGGTAATAAAATCCATCCATTAGATCCATTAGAATTCTGCTTGTTTAATTCCCTGTGTATAAACTTTCTCATAAACATAGTTCATTATAGGTTTGTTTTAAATTCAAATACTTAATTTTGGACCCCAAAAGCGTAGCTTTATAATTTATTTTTAAACATGTGTTCTGTGTAGGAAAACCAATGGTGCATTGTCCTGTCGCTTTGCTTTTGGCTGGTGCTTTTCGATTTTGAAAGTAGCATAGGGGAGGACAAATAATTTTCCCTCTACCCTTCCAAGTTCTTAGCTGAGACCCCTGTAATAAACGACAGATTAACAAGAGCAAAACAAACAGACATTTATTCACATGTGTACCTGGGAGATATCCAAGGGGGAATGAATAACGCTCCAAGGTGGCAGGTTTTGGGGTGGCATATTCTGTTACTCTGCATTAAGTGACCCACACTGTCTGGAAGTGCTTAACAGAAACTGGTGGGATTTGACTTACCTTTACAGGTGCACCTTGAGCGTGACGGTGGAGCAAGCCATTATTCTGGCCAGAAGCCATGGACTGCCACCTCGCTACATTATGCAGGCTACTGATGTGATGCGGAAGCAGGTATGTGTCACAGACACTCGTCGGGGAGTCGTTTCTCAGGTCCTCGGTTAGAAGGTCCCTTTGTTTATTTATGAAGTTTCTGACAGGTGCCTGCATGTGACGGGCACTTTTCCAGGCTCCGAGGGTAAGTGGTGAATAAGAAACACCCCCGGGGAAGAAGACAGCACAGATGTCCACATGGGGGTTCTCCGAGACACTTAGACAACCTGGAGAAAAGGACATCTAAGAGGTAACTGGAAGGAGGAAAGGGAGTTGGTCAGGCCAAATGAGTGGATTTGAGGCTTATGTAAAAGACAGGATAAATGGACACTTGCCATGCTCTGGGAATTGCAGGTGATTTAGTAAGGCTTGGGGAGGGGCGGCCAGGTGGCTCAGTTGGTTGGAGTGCGAGCTCTGAGCAACAGGGTTGCTGGTTCGATTCCCACATGGGATGGTGGGCTGTGCCCCCCACAACTAAGACTGAAGGGCAGCAACTTGACTTTGAGCTGATGGGTCCTGGGGAAAACACACTGTTCCTCAATAAAGTTTAAAAAAAGAAAAAAAGTAAAACATAAAAAAAAAAGTAAGACTTGGGGAATAGATTGGGGAAGGGGGTGAGGGGAAAGGAGAGGAAGGAACTGAGGGCCCTGCACACTTCTCAAAGGGACTGACTTCTCTGCCATACTCAGAAATTTGTGCGTCATTCTGAAGATAAAGCACTTCCCTCAGATTTTCCTTCAGAGAACGAATAGCTGCCGTTAAACTGTTTTTAGGTCTCTGAAGTGCATATAGGTAAGAATATATTCTCTTATAAAGAGAATGAACTTCTTATCCAATAATCAATAGGATTTCAAGTGTGGTAGTTTATTCAATTATAGTAACCTATTTTTAATAATAATCCAGTAAGCGATCGATTGTTGTGTTGGCTACACATACTTATATACTCCTACAATCTGGACTTAAATACTCAAAACCTTTGACTTCTTATAACTAAAAATGAAGATAGAGAAAATAGAGATAGAAAAATTGAAACAATATTAGGAAGATCTTAATGACTTGTTTAATTGGTGCAAATCTCTTTAAAACATACATATTATATTTGTATTTATATGTGGTACTATGTGTTTATAAAATATAATTTCAAAAGACTAAAAAATTATGAAGTTCTTATAAAACCCTGATTGATTTCTATTTTTCTATGCACTATTTTTCAGTATTTAACACTCCTTCCTCCTGTTTTTTAAAATAAATACATTTAGAATTGGTCAGTTCCTTCCTTCCTTGTTTGTTTGTTTCTCTGCTCCAAGTTTTAATGATATCTCCAAGTTGAGAGACAAAGAATTGATTTCTACCTTCTTGGTGAAAGGCTGTGGAGCCTGAATCCTCTCTTTAGAGAAACCGGGGTAGACTAGTGCACAGAAGAGATGTTTGCAATATTCCCTCTGTTGCTGATCCTCTGTCCAGTATTCAGCAATTATGGGCAGTGGGATTAATAGCGGATCGCAAGCCAACTCTTACCCACTTGAAATCTGAGTAACCAAAGATCGCACTTTCTGTTACTTTTGCCTTTCAACCCTTTAGACTCAACTTTCCAGAGACGAAATGGTGAGAATATTTGCCAGGTTAAGGAGTTATATTTTTTAAGGTCTTTAGTTTCTTTTTTAGGGAGAAGAAGCCTTTCAACATGATTTATTGTTCTTATTTCTTAACTGTAGTGTAGTTTTCACACACAGATTTTGTATATGTACTTTGCATAGAGTTGTTGTTTTAATTAACTAGTTGAGTTAGAAGGAAAGATAAAAGATAGAAGGAACAGTACTATGTTCTTACAATTTTTTTGATAATAATTATAATAACGCTCGGCAGCACTTTGACATAATCAACTGATTTGATTAATGAAAGTCTTGAGGTTGATGCTCCCAGTTACATTGTAAACTTAAAGTTTTCTGTCCTGCAAATTGTACGTGCCAGGTATTCTTTGGTGGAAGCCTACCCCCCAATTTTTTTTTCTTGACCTTTTTAATAAAAACTGGGATTCCAAAGAATACTGGCACCTTAGCTACATAGTATCAGGGCATTACACTGGGTACTTAGAACAAGGGCCAGGGGATATACTAGTGTCACATGTAGGTAAATCACCACACAGGCTCCAACAGCCAAGTACTCTAAGGGGTGTAAATGCAATAGGACGTTTGTTCAATGAATGAGTTCTAACTAGGATAACTGGAAATAAGGTTTCCTGCAGAAAGTGAATATATTATGATAGCGCCTGAGAACACAGATTCTTCAGCCGAACAACCTCAGTTTGAATCCCAGCTCCAGTGTTTACTGTCTGTGTGGTTTGGGGCAAGACTTTTAGCCTCTCTGTTACTTACCTTCCTCATTACTAAAACAAAGATGATAATAATAGTACTTGTCTCATAGTGTTGTTGTGAGACTTAAATAAAGACATATACTTAATGCACTTAAAACAGTATTTGGTACAGTGAATGACCAATCAATTACTAGCATAGATGATGCTTGATTTGGAGGATAAATGTGATGCAGACAGGTAGGGAAGAGGTCAGAGAGAGTGTTTAGGCTGAGGGAGCAGCATAAGCAGGTATAAAAAAGGAAGGCGCTGGCACACTGAGTGCATGAAGAATTATATTGTTGAGTTTCAAGTGGAATATGTGTTTGGCATGATGAGCGTTACTTTTATTTGAAACGTTTTAAGAAAGCAAAAATCTTGATATAAATGATTTAATGGAATATTATGAGACAAAAACAAATACTGGACTGTAGTTAGTAAATCTATTTCTCATAAGGATAGAATTTAGAAATTCTAAGACTAGCTTATATGTATACTAAGATTGAACAAATACTAAGATTGAACAAAAAATATATGGTCAATAATAATGAGAATAAACTTTCTGACTATGTGAGAAAGAAGGTGCACATGAGGACAGGGAGACGGCTGGAATCCAGAATCAAACCCTGTGGTGCTGGATTGGAATCGGAGGTATTTGTTTGAACCGATGGACACATGCACACACACGTGCACACATGCGCACATACGCACACAGATAGATGGAGACATAAATACAGATGTTTGAGTATGTTTGCATAAGGCAACTAGCTCTGTCTACTGAGGAGACATAGAAGCAGTTACACACCAGTAGTACTAAGGAACATACCCAGTGTCCAGACCTTCCGTTCTCAATATCACTATTCATTAAAAAGACCCAGGGATCCTTGGAGAAGTGGTTAATTCCCAGGTGAGCCAGGGCAGATGTGGCCTGGAACATTGTGAGGGGCCAGAAAATAAACAAGTACTCAAAAATGATGGCGGTCCTATCAGCAGGACACAAAAGGCGACTTGCAACAATTTGAGCAAGACTTTAATTATAAAAATATTGGATTGTAACGCACAGAATAAATAAATATCCATGAATCCATGCTGATTTCAATAGTATTTGAATAAATGATTTTGGGAGAAGGGATATGAATTGAATAAGACATGCAACTTCCTTAAGAGCATTGTACCAAAGTTGACTTCTTAGTTTTGATCATCCTGCTATGATCGAGTGAAGGGTTAAAGTCAGAGGGAGTTTACATGCTGGGCAAACTATATGAACTCTGTTCTGCTTTTACAACTTTAAGTTTAAAATTACTTCAAAATAAAGAAGTTCTTTTAACTGCTCATATTCTTTTTTTTTTTTTTTCTGTTTTCCTTTTCTTCTTTTCTTTCTTCCCTTACTGTAGTTCAGAATTGGCAGCAGGAGAGAGAGTTTCAGAGTTTTTAAACTGCTTTTCTTCATCTGTCCTCAGCCCTGTTTCCTGGTGTTTGGTTCTGTGTAATAACTAATTCCCATTAGGGACTGCACAATGATTATATCTTCATTCATAAACTTGACAGATTGTAAAGACATTTTCATTGCTAGGGTACATTGATTGCCTTTGTACTATAAACCTTGAGGCAGAATTCTTACATTTCAGAGATCCATATATACATACCTTGTCCAGAAATTGCTTTAGAACCATTTAAGGAAATAGTTTCTTGATAAGTACTGTGAAATTTAAAATGACGAATTATTCAGCTAAGGACAAAACAGGCACGTGGGTGTGATAAAACAGTTATTTCTGTTCCACGAAAGTGGGGAACACAGAAGATATTTATAGCTTGCTCATTTCCTACTGTCTTAAGTATTGCTTGCTTCTAGGAATAAAGACATAGATGAGATAGTGAACAGGAAACTGTTATTTAAACTTATTTTGAATGATTTCGATGGCTATTTAAATACGTATCGATCCTTTGAAACAAATATATCAGTGTATTTTAATTCTAAAAAAGTTAATTTTGAAAATGCTCAAATGATGATTACTTTCTTCTCCTCATCCAGTCTCTCTTGACGTTAATTATATGGTTGGAATAAATATTATATACGCAAATGTTAATGGTATGTTTGAATAATTACTAATGCAATGTAGAGCTAAGAGTGATTTTCCTTACTTCTTTCAGGGAGCAAGAGTTCAGAACACAGCAAAGAATTTGGGAGTCAGAGACCGGACCCCACAGTCTGCTCCCCGGTAAGTGACTCCCCAGGTCTGCTCTTTCCCAAAGGGCTCACCACCCTTTCCCGGGCAGTGGTCACTCACAGCTAATGCAACATCTCTAGGACATGCCCAGTGTAAAACTGATTATAATCATGGAAATTGGCCTTGTAAACATTCTGTGGCTAAATGTGATTAGGCATCAACGCTCTCAGAATGAAAAGGGATTTTAGCAGAAGCAAATTTAGAGGTAGACGCCTTGACATTATTTTATTTTGCAAGTTCCATCATGAATTCAAAAACAAAAGTCTACGCAGTTAGTACAGAAATTTATATTCCAACTATGCCAAACTTTCATAACGCCATTTTCATTTATGCTTTTATGACTACACATGCTGTTCCCTCTGACTCGATTGCCTTTCCCATCTGTGTCCGTATAAAAAACTAACCACAAAACCCAACTAAGATGTTTGTTTTGTCCTTGAATTTTTGGCAGAGTTTCCTTCATCATTATGCTCCCTTCACACCTTGTATTTTGATCTATGATAGCCCTGACTGTGTTGCAATAATATATCATTACATGTCTCTTTGCCCAATCTGAATATGAATTCTTTGGAGGCAAGGAATATGTTTTTTGAATTTTATTCATTGCTCATCATAGTGCCTGCATATGAATATCCACACTGATTTCAAGAACGTGTGACTGAATAAATGAATGAATGAGCTTTTTGTTTGTTATCATACCAAATATTCACAGTTCGTATGTCATCACAAGAAAGGACTCTAATCCACCTTTAAAATAAATGAACATGGGAATAGCCACCAAAGAAATGTTGTTAATTTGATTTCCCTGGTGACATTAGTGTCAGCAGCCATCTGCTTTGAAGTAGGGCAAAATGAAATAATGTCCTTTACTTTTGATTGTTTTCATACATTTGCATTTTAACAAAAAGTAAGTTCCTCTAAGTACGGTCAAGACACTCTTTGTTTCCATGCACAAAGCAGTTACCAGAGTGACCATGATGACTGCAGCATTGGAGAAGTTATATTTTATTCTGGAAAACGTGTGGGCAGTGACAATACTTTCAAAAGGCAAAACGTATTTTCTCTTTGAAAATGGATGGAGCGCTCATGTTCTAATTGCATTTGTTTTGACTGCTGACTCCTAACCCTTGTTAATCCTTCAGTCATGTTAATGTTATCTTGCATAGTGGATTCGATTAGAATCTAAGACTTTCTATTACTGAAGAATCATTTCAAACAGGCATTTGCTCTCTAGTACCTTGAGCAGACATGGTGTATTTGGATAACAGACCCAGTGAAGTGTTAACATTCCAATAAGAAACAAGATAATGGCTCAGCAAGGTCCTCTTAGCTGGAGCTTATAAACAATAATAAACAGTGGCGCTGGATAAGACTTCAGCATCCTGATCAATAAACCAATACACACGCTGAATACAAAAAAAGAAATGGATGAACGTACTCTCTTCTTTATTGGATTATGTTTTAAAACACTTGAAATGAAACGCAATAAACTGTGCCAGCTGTAAAGTTGATATTTTTCACAATGAATGATAGCCCTAAAAGCAGAAAGCTAGAGTGATTTTTAATTTTTTTAAATTTATTATTTCATTTACTTTACAAATATTTATTGAGAATATAAGAAATGCAAAGCACTCTGCTGTGCCCCACGGAGAACATAAACATGAGATAGAAATAGCTCTGGCTCTCAATGAGTATTTGCTTAAAGCAATGAGATGAGTAAAACATAACTACAGGAAAAAGTAGAATGTGAGAGAGTTCCGAGGACTGTCGAGGGGCTGGGGTCCCTCCCAGCTGCAAACCAGGAGCCCTGCTCCAAAGACATCAAACCAAAGAACACATTTGGCTCTTAAGGCCAGGCCACCCACAGGCAAATCTGGGGTAATGTTTCTACAGGTAGCTTCAATGCAGCTAAAGTTTGCTATCTTTGCCTGAGATAATGTTTTGTTCAAATCTCCAATCAATCTCTTCATAGTTTTGTAAAACCATCCACTGCCTTTTATTTTTTAAATTTACTCAGCAACCATATACTGACTATCTTCTATGTGTTTGTAGATGCCAGGCACATTGTTAAAAACCAAAGATACAGATAGAGTCTTTTCCACCGGTCACTGATATGCACAGTAGAGTGATAATTGAATAAAGTGAAAATAGTATACAGTGTATATGAACTGTGACAGAAATAGGCACAGATTGCCATGAGAACACAGAGAAGGGGCACATACCTCAGCCAAGGGATGGAGGGGGGTGGGGGTTGTAGAATGTTCCTGGCCCAGTTAGATGTTCTGTACAGCTGATGCAGTGACCCCAAGGGCTGGAGAACCCATCACATTCTGAGAAATGCACCTGGATCTCTGACTGATGCTTGACTGTGATTTTAGAGTTAGAGTGATGCAAAGTGGGGCTGGGGACCTGGGGTGGGTGGGGTAGGGGTGGGGGACTGAATCAGGAAGAGGCTTGTAGGAGATGCTGAGGCATTTTTATTTTAATTCAAAGACAATAGGGAAGCATTCATAAACAACCTACCTATCTAGAAGATTTAAATTTTAGAATTTATCTCTGACAACATTAAGGGGTTCCATTTGAGAACAGCTAAGATTGAAGGCAGGAGCTTAAAAAGAGATTATTATTACTGAGGATGAAGATAAAAGGATGGACTAGAGAGACATTTAGAAGACAGAATTAATAGTCTTTGGACACTCATTGGAATGGAGGAGGTTAGGGAAAAGGAAGATTCTAGGATGACCACCAAATCTTTGGCTTGGATGACAAGGGGTGGATGTTTCTAGTCACTGAGAGAGTAGATACAGGAAAAAGAGCATGTACAGTAGTCTGCCCTTTTCTGCAGTTTCACTATCCTCAGTTTCAGTTACCTGTGGTCAACGACAGTCCAAAAATATTGAATAGAAAATTCCAGAAATAAGCAATTCATAAGTTTTAAATTGTGTGCCATCTGAATAGCATGATGAAATCTCATGCCATACTATCTGGGACATGTACCACCACTTTGTCCAGCATTTCCACACTATATAGGTGCTGCCACACATTAGTCACTTAGTAGTCCTCTCAGTTATCAGATGCACTGTCACAGTATCTCAGTGCTTGTGTTCAAGTCATCCTTATTTTACTAAATAACGGCCCCAAAGTTCAAGAGTAGTGATGCTGGCAATTCGAATATGCCAAAGAAAAGCCGTAGAGTGCTTCCTGTAAATGAAAAGGTCTGTTATGTACAGGAAAAAAACAGTATATATAGGGTTTGATACTATCTGTGGTTTCAGGCATCCACTGGGGAGGTCTTGGAACTTATCCCCATAGATGAGGACAACTGTATAGGGAAAAGATGACATCCAAAAGATGACATGGTGCTATTGAGACTAAGGATCAATGGGACATCCATGTGGAGAGGACTTGTACAAATGAGGTTCTTCTTCCTTCTAACTTTCATACATTGGCTCTTCAGAGCAATAAACATCTTCACCAAGACCCAAATATGACATTTCAGAAGTAATGGTACAGTGGTCTTATTATAAAATCTGGAAACTGTTGTGTAATGAAAGCTTGATTTTATATGTGTGATTGGGAGGTAGCATAGTATCATCGTTAAAAGTGAAAAGATGGTTTTGAGTCCCAGCTTGTGCTCTGTAACCTGATTTAGTCAGGTTATGTGTCGTCTGAGACAGTTTTCTTATCTGTGTGATGGAGGGAAATTGCCTTGCAGCAGAGTATTTTTGATACTTTAACTTTGAAAGAGGCATTTGCTTTGGGTCTCCCTTAACACAAGTTTCATTTTGCCACATAGCAAGGTCAAGGGCATGGCTAGAGACTACAGTTTGAAAGTTCATCTCTGCAGATTTACATTTGGGCTGGAAATACCAGCCCCAAGATGGCTGCCTGAGCCCAAACTGGAAAAAAAGGAAGTGGAGCCACAAACAAACCTTTTTGTGTAGGGCCACTGGTATGCATGAAGGGAATAAAAAAAAAAGCAAGAACCCCAAAATGTCGAGCAAACAGAGGCCTCCCATGACCTAACAGTTTAGCTGCCCCAAAACCAAATGCCTCAGTGCAGAGTAGAAGCCCATCTCTTACCTATTACATTTTACTTCCCAACCTCGTCTGCTAGTTCTAAATTCCCAAAGCCCCTCACTATCCATTACTAATGTGTCTGAACTCAAATAACCCTGAGTCTCTTCCAAGAAGCCGCGCAGAAGCTGAGTCTGCCCAGCGCTGCAGTACCCAGAGCTATTATTTCATTAGCTGATTAACAGGAGTACAAGGCAGACATTTCAAAGACTTGTCTACCCAGTGGCATTAGTTGCACTCAGTGGGTATGTGCAAGGAAAGGTAATGGAATGTGATGGCTCAGGTCAGACGTCATGGGGCAGGACATCCTCCACCCAACCTACCATTTCTGTGCTAGCAGAGTAAGGCTAAGGCCAACTGTGCTTTTCACTCAGTAGGCAGCACTGTCTGGGTGGGACATGAGAGGACGGAAGCTAAAGAGGAAAAGAACTTCCCCATCATTCTGTTATTCCAGCCCCGGAAATGCAAGTTGAAACACCATATCCTTTAGCTGAAAAGGCAGCTTTGAAGTCTACCAGCTCATTTTAATGTATTCTTTTCTTCCGGAGGGATGGAAAAAGCCTTTCTGATCTGAGATGTCCTTATGTCAGTATTCATTTTCTTCCATGGCTCCCTAACCACCTTCCAGACTGGAAATACGTTTTGCAAACCTCCAAGGCAATAATCTCTTCTACATGTTTCCAGGGTCGGGGAGTTCATTTTGTTAACTAGGTTTCTGACTCCACATTAAACCTTTCTTATTCTTCCCGCTTTGATTTAGGATTAACATGGGATTAAATGTCGAAGGAAGAGGTCATTTCTAATTCGCTAAATTTGTCAACAACTCGGTTAAGCTGCGTTTAATTTAATCTGTCAAAGGGAGTGGATCTCCATAGCTACTCCTGGATGTGGAGTGCTTTGAAAAATGAACAGAGTTGAAATCTGCCCCTTATGTTTTTATTTTTATTTATTTTTTTTTTATTGGTGAATTGGGGGGATGGGAACAGTGCTGGGGAATTGGGGGAAGGGGGACAGACAAGTTGTTGTCCTTGTTTTGTTCTTCAGTCTAGTTGTGGAGGACATTGCTTCACTGGCCCAAGTTGGCACCATCATTGCGCTCTTCCCGGGTGAGGCAGATCAGTCGCCGGCTTCTGGACAGCCGCTCACTGCGGCTGCTGGCCACACACGGTAGCCCATGGCAACCCACTGCCACAGGGGCTGCAGCCTACGCCGTCGCCGGTGACTCACAGCAGCCCAGCTCCAGGTTGAGCCGTTGTTCAGCATCTTAGCTGTAGAGGGCAGTGTCACTGGCCCTCATATGTGGGATCCGAACCGGGGCCCTCTGGCATCCCAAGCGAGTTCTTAACCATCGCGCCACTCGGCCGGCCCTGCCCCTTATGTTTTTATAGCATTAGACTAGCTCTGAAGAACCAGGGTGGCCGTGGGCACTGTGGATGCTTACAGGTCAAGTCCGACATCCAGCCGCCTTAGACCAGCTGGCATGATCTCAGGCCATGCCTTCAATAACGGGTATGCACGGTGTGGTCACTATTGCAGCGATGTCCCCCTTCACTTTGTCTCTGGAGTTAGGATTCAACCATTCAGGAGACTGGAGCACCAGTACTTGTGGAATTCTAGTGTGGTCCCCTGAACTTTGCCTTGATGCTGGATGATCTCAAACAACTGTACCTGAGATGCAAAGAAGGTGCATCTTCCCATCTCCCAGAATCTCTACCAGTTCAAATGGATTCCTAGACCCACCTGAATCTCCACTTGATTCTGTTGACAAGTGAGGGGGCGATGGGCAAAGCTGGGCGTAAATTCCTTAGGAAACACTAGCTACCTGGGCTTTGATATTCAGGCCTCAGGACTGTGCCACACCACCCTGGTCATAGCCAGCTGCCTACACCACCAGGATGGTACAAAGTTAAGCAAATTTCCAAAATTGGTCAGAACATCAGTAGAGTCCTATGAGATAGATGCTTTCTTACTAAGACAATCGTGATAGACATGGTGATGATTATCATAATAATGTCGTCTCATGGAATTTGGAGAGTCAGTTTTGCTACCAGCGAGGTGAACAGTAGAAACACCAGGGCAGAAGCAGCTGGTATAAAACGGTCAGCATTGTTCAATCAGTCGCCATCTAGATGTGCAGAGAGACATCGGTGTTTCCCAAATAATAGAACCAAAATTTTGGACTTCGCTAATTTGTATGTGATTTTTAATGAAATAGGTAACATGATCATGGCTCCCAAACCAAGAAATTATTATCGGTGTATTTGTTAGACCAGTAAAAACATCTCACATAATGTCAATACTCTGGGCCACTGTCACACTTTCTCATATGCCTCTTCTAGGCTGTACAAGCTGTGCGAGCCGCCTCCCCCCGCTGGAGAAGAATAGAGAACCCCAAGGAACGGAGTGAGCAGACGCTTTGGGACACGGGACTAGACAAAGGGCAGTCTGGTGAAACATTCTCCACGCAAGATAAAGACAGGAATTTTTTCTCGAAATCTTTCATCATGGTGTAAATAAGTCATAGTCAGCTTGTACTTAGATATTTCTGCTGGAAATGGATAGATGGTCATTCAGACAGTTCAGCTCCATACACAGATCCCTCTATGTATTGACATGACTCTTTATTTTTAGGGTCCAATTCATCCCTGGAAATGACAGGGGGGAAAAAAAAAAAACCTGAGGAAAACAGTGAACCATTGTGCTTCCTGTCCCATGTATGAAAATTATTTTATTGGGTTCTATATTTCACCTCCTCTGAATGGGAGCACGTAATCATGGATATTTCCATTTGAAGCGGTCTGTCACTGAAGAAACATGGCCACATTTTCTAACTCCTACAGAAATGTTACAGACGACAGAGACCAAGTAGTTTCTGCGGGAAAAGTGAAGAGCGTGCTTTCCTCTTTCTAAGGACATATTTCTCAGTAGAGGAGAGAGCGATGGAGGCCTCCAGCAAGACCTTCTTCCGGCTGCTTTTAGGCGTCTTTTATGCTCCTGGACGGCTCCAGCAGCCAGTACTACTGTGGGTCTCAGAAAAGGGCATGGCTCCCTTGGGCCACGCTTGCTCGTGCTGTGCCAGAGATGTCAAGGATCTGCTAGGGATTGGGGAGCTGCGGAATGGAAGGTGAGGGTGGGAAAACCAGCCAATTAAAAAAACTCAACCTTTAACCTAGATCCCCAAAACTCTTAATTTTCTTAAAGCTTTCAGAGGAGATGTCAGACTCTTAAGAGACTATGCTTTGCTGAGTATTTTTCTATCAAGGTATATTATATAAGGTGTGAAAATAAAGCTTTACTTGTTGAACTTTAAAAGGACTGCTAGAGACGTTGGTAAATTTATGGAAGCACAAGATGTATTCTATTTTAATTCTAAAGTCTATGTAATGTTTATCCTTTCTACTTTGATCAAATAACATTGGTGTTTTTAGCATAGTGACTATGGTATTATAATATTGATTTGAAATCCATAATTTTCAAAACAATTAAGATGCCCTTATTGGGATTGTGATAACTATTTGGATTTAGACTTATTTAGTATGTGAACTGCTTTTCATAACTAAAGTATATAAAAACCATTATTAAATTTTAATTTATAAAATTTGTCCTTGGTTTTCAAACTATCATTAAAAACCTTCATTACTAGCAGTTGTGTATTTAATAACAAAAATGCTGTTTATATATGACTGAGGTACTTACATACCTGTCAAGGTGATGATTATTGTTATTTGGCACAGAAACTTTTAAGACTTTTGCAATAAGGCCATAGTATAGTGAAAAATAAAGAACATCAGAGTTTTCAAAGAAAAGGTTGAACACTTGGAATTTAATTAAGATTAAATTAATCTTAAATCTGACCCTAAAATGAATATCAATATTAGGTACATCCTTAACTTAAAACGACTTGACATTCTCGATATTATCAGCAAGTGAATCCTAAAGGTCCATGATATTAGTAAATTGTGATTTTCCTGTACTGAAAATTTCATTATGTTCCATGTAGGGCTAATGAGTGAGCAAATCTGATTAACCAGCAAGTACTTTTCACATTATCATTAATGTTTTCTAATTACTCTCCTGGAAGCAGTAATTTCTTAGAAGGATGAAGGGTCCCTTAACCATTTAATTCGCACTTTGCTGTGTTTCATGGGGGTAATTATCTGCTATTGTGGTATTTATAAATTAGCATATTTTTCAGGATCTGCTCTCTCTGCAATATAATGTGTTTACTATTATTTTAAGGGTTCAACAGTGTAAGTGTACCATCTTCTTTAATAAGTGCTTGGCATTTACTAAATGCCCCAAAGTTAGTAATGGTTTATCTGATCATTAGTCACTGTCTGTTTCGATGGTAATAAACGTTTCAGATAAAACTTAAGTAATTACTGTGGGCCAAACAATACGTCCAAGTCCTACTGGACTGTTGTTATTGCTTCACTCTTTCTCATATTGACAATTTGAGGTGGTACTCTTTTCATCACCCCCTTTTTACAGTTGAACTGAAGCCAAGAATGGCCCAGTGACTTGCCCAAGACTACATGACTGCCAAGTAAATAGAATCAGGATTTGAACCCAGGAAGTGTGCCTTCTTAATACATTACGCTGCTTCTTAGGACCGCAAGAACTGTTGTAATATAACCAATCATTTGTTAGTAAAGTGGGAATTATGTGGAGTGTGTTGCCATTAAATTATACATCTTATATGGAGAAAAAAAGTGAAGGGGAATATGGAAAAGGTCTTTATTTATGAAACTCTTAGGATGTGCTAGACATTTTACCATTCTAAATACACATTTTGAGGGAACACAACGTTGTGGCAATCTGAAAAAGTATATTCCTCATAATTGAAGATAGCAGTTTTAGATATATTTTGAAAGTCTAGAATGGTGCATCATATAAAATTTGACAGATTCCAAAACAGTGGTAACAGTAAAAAATGTCAAATGAATGAAGACAATTTTTCAATCCCGTAATATCTCTCCATGTGACATTGGGCCTTTAACTGGCCTTGAGTGTTTAGAATAGGTTCACCTAAATGCCCACATACTCCTCTACAGCCAGTGGACTTTAAACGTTGCTGTAGCCTGCCAACAGTTCTCCCAGGTTCTGAGTTTGGACATCTGCCTCTCTCCACCTAAAACGGAAGGTCATGCATAGAAATTTTGGTTCCTAACATGGACCGGACTCAAAAATACTTATTAACTAGTAACTCATAGTCAGTACATCTTAAATCTTTCATTACACCTTCCAAAGGTTTCTAATATTAAATATTACAAAATTTCATATAATATTAGAAGTATGGGCAATTTTAGGAGACAAGAATTTTATGTCTAGTCCCAATTAATATTTAACAAGGAGGAGAGAGAGAAGAGAAAGAAAAGAGTTTCTGTTCTAGTTTTCCTTATATTGGATATGTAATGTTGATTTTAGAATACAAGCTTTATTTTATGAACCAGTATCCCGATGTAGTTTCTGTCTCTTTAAGTCATATTTTCCCAGTGGCTTAAATTCATTGGCCACCCTTCTTCCAGCAACAATGTTCAATTTAAAATTAGTTTAATTTCTTTTTTTTTTTTTTTTAAGATTTTGATGGGGAATTGGGGAAGGGGAATAGCGTTGGGGAATCAGGGAAGGGGAACAGACAAGTTGCTGTCCTTTGGTTCTTCAGTCTAGTTGTGGAGGATGTTGCTTCACTGGCCAATGTTGATATTGTGATCATTGTGCTCTTCCTGGCTGAGGCAGATTGGTTGCCAGCCCTTGGACAGCTGCTCACGCTGGCTGCCGGCCACTCACAGTAGCTTACAGTAGCCCACTGCAGCTTCACTGAAGCCTATGCTGTCGCTGGCAACTCACCGCAGCCCAGCTCCAGGTCGAGTTTTTGTTCACCATCTTAGCTGTAGAGGGCAGTGTCACTGGCTCATGTGGGATCCGAACTGGCGACCCTGCTGCTCAGAGCTTACTCTCCCAAGCAAACTCTTAACCAACAAGCCACTTGGCCGGCCTCTAGTTTAATTTCTTATGATACTGTAATATACAGTTAACCCTTGAACAATGCAGGTTTGAACTATATAAACCTACTAACACGTTTCTTTTTCAATAAATACAGTACTACAGTACTGTACATGTATTTTCCTTATGATTTTCTTAACATTTTTTCTAGCTTTATTGTAAGAATACAGTATATAATATATATGACATATAAAATATGCATTAATCAGCTGTTTATGTTATCAATAAGGCTTCCAGTCAACAGTAGGCTCTTGGTAGTTATATGCTTGAGGGGAGTCAAAAGTTAATGAAGATTTTGGACTGTGTGGAGGGTGAGGAAGGTTTCCACACCCTTAATCCCCTGTGTTCAAGGGTCAACTGTATATTATATTATATTATATTATATTATAATGACATTGGTTCTGACTCTATTAATTTAAATTTTGTGTCAGTTAAATTCGGAATGAAATGAAATTGACCTTGACACTAACTGCAAAAGCCAAGAAAATGAATGGGTAAAAAAATCCCAAAGGGTATGTTAACTAATTTTAGAAAACAAACTATATGTTATATAGTAAAAATAATATTTATTGACTTGGAAGCATTTGGCTGAGAGTTATTTACTCCATGTATTTGAAAATATATATTTGTACTTAAAATACTAAAATAGTTTTCCATTAGTTAATGTAGGTCTTTTCCTATATAGCATGATTTAGTGCAGATAACAGGGCATATTTTTATTCACTTGTATTTTTGAAAAATCATAATATTAAAATTTGAAATGAATAACCTTTAAGTCATTTTACTTTACCTTTTACTTCTGAGAGCATTTTTAGATTTTCTTTACTAGTGGTATTTACTAATATTGAAATTAACCTTTTAGTATGTGACTAAATTGCTTCTGAATTTTTGGAAGCTGTTTAATTTTTAGGGGCTTATTATTAAGCAAATTATTGCACTAAATTATAGTTTAATTACTTTCCCAGAGCCTGTGATTCATTAACATGCAAATAGATAAACCAATTTGCTGAATGAATTGTCAGTTGTCCTGCTTCAGTAGAAAGACAAGAAAAGCTTTTGAAGTGGTTTAGGATGAGGTAAACTTTGATGAAGAAAAACAAATGTTCTGCACTCTACTGGGTTTTTGAAGTTTTAGTGATGAGCCTCAGAAACGTTCACCCTGTATGAAGCAGAAACAGTGGGCGAAAGTTACAAGAGGAATCTGGACCAAGAATGGGCTCAGAATGGTGCCTTTAACATATAGTATCCACAGTCTTCTTAGGTGCTGCAATTCCATCACTGTTATTCGTTAGACTTCGGTTTTAGAAAACTTTCACACTTCAGAGCTCTGCCTTTGACAGTGATCTCAGCATATGGCCAGGTTGTGCATTCACAGGAGACTGTTAGAGATGGCCCGTGAGTCGTCTAGACACAGGGCCTCCTTTACTCAGGATAGCTTGCTTTTCTCACTGAGAAGAGACACGTAAAGTCTACTAAGACAGACAGAGATATATACATTTTGTATACATTTATATTTACTACTTTTTGTTTTTATGATAACACATAGATATTACTTAGATTCTTATGTCTTGTCTTGGATGAAGATATGGTATATGGAGTTGTTCGATATACTGAATGTGTGTTATGTCGACCTCAGAGCTGTCTAAATATATAGAAAACACAAGTTTTGCTCCCTGACATTAGGTTGCTATTCATTCTGGAGTCAATTTACCTGACTTTGCTATCCAGAAGAAATAGCTGATGAGTAATAAAAGTGTTAAGTTTTTAAAGGATATTTCTACTAGTAATAGAAAGCTTTGGATAGTAAATTTGGGGTGCACATAGCTAGCTAACTGCCATCCACTTGTGTATTCATTCAACAAATGTGTTTGAGAATTTGCTGTATACAAGGCGCAAGCAGTGGGCCTCGGTTATGTGTTGGATGTGTTTGATTTGAAAAGCATCTGTGTTAATGATCACCTGTGTCTTTTACTTGAAATAACATTATTTGTAACACAAACCTATTCTAATATCATGGAGGTATATATGCTGTATAAAGTCAAGAACACTAAACTGATAAAACACTTTAGAAAACATACATTTAAATTTAAATATCTAGTGCCTCAAGCAAATTTATTAGAGCTTGAGATGAATATATATTTTTGTAACTGCCCAGTAAATGACTAGAATATAGCTGTTGCTTAAAAAAAATTTTATAAGTATTCATTTACACAATATTCATTATTTTAAATAGTAAAATATCACATTGGTTCTATAAATAGTAATTCTTTTGAATATGTTCATATTTAACATTGTATAACATCCAAATGATGACAGATTTCTTCAGACTGTGTTATTATAGTAGTCTATTCTTTTCTTTGTAAAATACACATGTAACATAGTTTCAATCACTCACTATTTTCTGTATGGTTAAAAAGATCAGTGTGCTATGTATTTCGTATCATTTATTTTTGTTTGTGTAAAAGACTAGAATAGTATCATTGTATCATAAATGTCAATAATAATAAAGCAAAATGTAGTATGACCATGTATGTCAGCCTCTTTCCATTTAAATTTAGCCAATTCCTATTATGTTCTCACCTGTTTAAGAGACAAAACTTCACCATAAACAGATTTTAACCCTTTAAGAGTTCACAGGCTCAATCGAAGAAAATTGATACTTTTACAAAACAAATCTACAAATACAAGTCAAGGTGAGTTGTAAAGACAATAACTGCTAGGAGGGGTCAGGAAAAGCAGCTTAATATGTGCCACAACATAGGAAAGCTTCATGGGAGATAAGTGCCTTGTACTGTTCCCTGAATTAACTAGCCAATCTGTCAAAATTTATTCAGTTCCTATTATGTATAAGCCCCTGTCCTTGTTGCTGAAGGTGTGAACAATGCATATTATTCCCAAACTCTGCAGTTGAAGAACTTGGTATATATAGATGATAAATGCAGTGCACAAGCCAAAATGTCAGCTGCCAACCTAAGCAATACAACTAATGTGGATTGAGAGGTAAAGCAATGAGATACGTGGACTACAGAAATGCAGAGAATTTAGATCTAATCCAACATCTCTTTATTAGGCATTTAGGAATTGCCAGGTACTGTGCTTGGTTTGATATTTAGTAATTAGAAACATATATGGCTATTGTCCATGTGGAGTTTACAGCCTAGATGCAAAAACATTGATCAAAAAAGTATATTTAAAAAAATGATGAGAGAAGGCTAGGTCAGCTTTTGGGATTTGTAAGATTAAGCAACAGAGGAAGGGAATGACAACTTTGTTAGCAAGACAGTATTAACACATGCACTGTGATACAAATGCACCAACATTTTCGTGGGATGATGAATGAATCAGTCTGGATAGAGGATTAGACTTGTGGATGTGATTAGAAAGAGAGATGGATAGAAACGAAGGTTGGTTCTAGGGGGTATAGGACTCTGAATGGCAGGCTAAGAAGTCTGGACATTGTATGAGGTCCGACAATTAAGTTCGTGAACTTGTTGCAACGATGTTGCTAAACTTTTTTGATACCAGAGGGATTATTCATTATGAATTTGTACCAACTGGACAAACAGTTAACCAAGTTTACTATTTGCAAGTGCTGAAAAGGCTGCGTGAAAAAGTTAGACGACCTGAACTTTTCACCAAGAATCCATGGTTTTTGCACCATGACAATGCACCAGCTCACACAGCACTGTCTGTGAGGGAGTTTTTAGCCAGGAAACAAATCACTTT